GCTTATTTCACTGAGCCATCTCCCCGGCCCAATCCAGGGTTTTTTAGTAGCAAGAAAATTTGCTTATTGTTTCTGGGGGTTAGTAACAACCCAGGTGTGCCCGTGATTTTCCTATTTTTACAGTCCTCCCCAGCTCCCAGTTTGTTCTTTTTTTCCCCCCCCCAGTTTTTTCAAGATTAGAGCAGTGTGTCTGGCCATGAAAATTCAGTCCATTCTAACACTCATAATATAGAATAGTAACATTGAATCTAAATGTCCTGTTACTTGAATCACCAGCTTTTTTTTTTTTTTTTTTGGGCGGTACCAGGGATTGAACCCAGGACCTTGCTTGTGCCAGGCAGGTGCTTATTCTACTGAGCTATCTCCCTGGCCCCTACATGCTTTGAAATAGTTAAAAGATTTGAGAAAATAAATACAAAAACTAGCATGGGTGTGGTGATACATGCTGGTAATCCCAGCCCTGGGGAGGGTGAGGCAAGATTACTGCAAAATCACGGCCAGCCTGTACCACATAGATCCTGGGACCCTCTCTCAAGAAAAATGGAATTTTTCTAGTTTTGCAGGAAGCACAGGGTTGGTGGTGCTGAGGACTGAACCTAGGAGCTACGTCTTAGCCCTTTTTTAATCTTTTATTTCAAGACAGGATCTTGCTAAATTGCCCAGGCTGGGCTTGAGCTTCCAGCACTGGGCTAAAAATAACCACTGTTGGTAGGCAAGTACGTGTCCTTCTAGACCATTTTCTGCACAAAATTTTGTTTTGTTTTACAGAAATAGGGTGGGACCATGTGAGTTTTTGTTTCTGTGTTTTTATAGTACTGTAGATTGAACCCAGGGCCTTGCACTGAGCTACATCCTCACCAGTGCCTCTTGGTAGACAAGAGCCTTGCTAAATTGCCTAGGCTGGCCTCAAAGTTGTTATCTTCCAATCTCTGCCTCTTGTGTACTGGAATTACAGGTATGCATCCCTATGCACAGCTTTTTTTTTTTTTTTTTTTTTTTCCTTAATGTATTTAGTACAGGGTCTCACTACACAGATCAGACTCCTAGTGATCCTCCGGTTTTCAGCATCCCAAGCACTGAGATTACAAGTGTGCACCACCACGCCCAGTCTCAGTCACTGTCTTGGTGTGTCCCAGGGGCTAGGCCAGCATAGCATGCCAGGTATGGAACCCCGGTCCCTGTGCAGACTCTTTAATCCGCTGAGCTATCTGGCCAGCCCCCTATATACAGCTTTAACTATGCATTTTTTTTCCTATTCTCCCAGAGAAAATTAAGACAAAGCCAGGAGTAATGATGCACACTATGAGTCCAATCTAGTAGTGAGACCCTGAACACCCTGTAGACCCTTCCCTAAAATTAAAAAGTATTGATGCATATCTATAATCCCAGCATTTGGGAGGCTGAGGCAGAATAATTACAGGTTTGAAACCAGCCTGGGTTACCTGGGAGCTCAAGACCAACCTGAACTACATACATAGACTCTGCTCATAAAACCAAAAAAAGGAAAAAAAGAAAATTCATAGTAAGGATGCACAAGTTGAATAAACTTAGCCTTATGAAAAATTTGCTACATCATTTTTATCATCTCACCATAAATGAACAAAACTTTAATCATGACATGGTTGATGTATGTCCAGATTCTTAGGACTTACTGACCTAGGACAGTGGTGGCAAACCCATGGCACTCGTGTTGCCTGGACTGTTTGTCATTGAAAGCTTTAAAAGGTTTGCCAGCACTGGCCTATGGGATTGTAGAATACTCTGTAGAATCAGAGTAACTTATTATCACATCCTCTCAATTATTCTATTTTGAGTTCTCTATCTCAATCTTCTTTCTCTTCACTCCTTTTTTCCTCTTTTCCTTTTTCTGTCATATGACTGCTTTTTAGGAATATGTTGATAACTAATATTGATATATACTTTAATATAAATGAAGTTCATCCTTTCTGGGCATAAAAGAAAAACTGGCCAGGTGTGATGACACAAAATTGTAATCTCAGCACTTGGGAGGCTGAGGCAGGAGAACAGAAGAAGCAAATTGAGGCTAGCCTGCACCCTGTCTCAAAAGAAAAGAAAAACTGGACCACTGAGTAACAATAATTAGCTATTCTTATTAGTACTCTGTTGCATCCATCTTTTATTTAATCTCCATAGCTACTCAGTAGTATTTTTGTTCATTTTCCAGTGGAGGAAACTAAGGTTTAGAGAGCTTAATACTTACTGAGTACTTAGTTTGAGTACTTAAATTCTTTTTTTTTTTTTTTTTATGTATTTAGTATAGGGTCTCAGTACACAGATTGGATTTGTAGTGCTCCTCCCTTTTTCAGCCTCCCAAGGGCAGGGATTACAGTGCACCACCCATGCTCAGTCTCTTATCGCTATGCCCCTGGGGCAGGGCCAGTACACCAGGGATGCACCCGGTCCCTGCATCTGCCTAACCAGGCACTTTGATCTGCTGAACTCTCTGGCCACCTCTTGAATACTTAAATTCTAGCTGGGAATGGTCATGCATACCTATAATCCCAGCATTTGGGAGACTGAGACAGAAGGATCACAAGTCTTAGGCCAGCCTAGGCAACACATTGAGACCCTATCTCAAAAAAAAAAAAAACAAAAAAAACAACTTATATTCTTGGTTATTATCTCATTTAACCCTTACAATAGTCTTTTTTTTTTTTTTTTTTTTTTTGATGGAACCGGGAATTGAACTCAGGCCCTTGCACTTGCCAGGGAAGTGCTTATTCCACTGAGCCATGTCCCCGGCCCTCCTTACAATAGTCTTATGTAATAGTTGGTTTTAAGATTAGGTCGTTTTATAGATGAGGAAACAAATGCTTCCATGTGTTCAGTAACTTGTAGGGCTAGAAAACAAACCATAGAATTGGACTCTAGAACCGTTGTTCCTCTGCGTTGCCTCCTACTTGGTTTTCTCTTATTATGTAATTAGTAAGATTGTTGCATTTATAAACCCTAATGTTATGCCAAAGTCGTTCATTGTAGTGGCTAAATGTTTCTCCTCACATCAGGATATGATGTCTCCACACTTGAAAGTATGATTTGGATTCAGTAGATCAGCTTTACAAGGAAGAAATTAGATAGTTTCTACAATTAAATGATAATGACAGTACAGTATACCAGAACTTATGGAACACAGTGAAAGCAGTCCTAAGACGGAAACTTATAGCATTGCATACTTACCAGGAAAACAGAGCAAGAGCAAATACACAACTTAATGGTAAACCTCAAACTTCTAGAAAAATAAGAGCAGGCTAAGCCAAAAGCTCATATAAAGGAGGAAATTATAAAGATCAGAGCAGAGGGGCCGGGGAGATGGCTCAGTAGAATAAGCGCTTCCCTGGCAAGTGCAAGGGCCTGAGTTCAGTCCCTGGTTCCACCAAAAAAATAAAAAAATAAAATAAAATCAGAGCAGAAATTAATGTATTGGGGATTAAAAGAATAATATAAAGTATCAATGAATTGAAGAGTTGGTTCTTTGAAATATTAAAATCAAACCCTTTTCAAAAATGGATCAATTTCTTTAGAGAAAAAAATTTGAATAAGCAAGTTATAATTCAGGTAAGTCTTTGGTTTTAAAGATAGGTTTTGTATGCTCTAGGTTAATTCCTATGAATTTTATAGTTCCCTACTTTTTTTCAGTGTCAGGATTATGAAATTTGATTGAAAATCTCACAACATGATAGTGCGTGGCTATAATCCTAACATTTGAGAAGCAGGGGCAGGAGGATCACTTGGAATTTGCAGATAGCATAGGCCACCTTGGACTACATAGTGAGACCTTGTCTCAAAAAAATAAACTAGAATTTTTTTTAAAAATCAAAGGTTTGGGCTGGGGATATAGCTCAGCAACACAGCACCTTCCAGGCAAGTGCAAAGTCCTGAGTTCACTTCCAGGTACAAAAAAAAAAAGGTTTAGGGCTAGGTTTGATGGTGCCCATCTGCAGTCCTAGCACTCAGGGAGGCTGAGGCAGGACAGTCATTTCAAGTTTCAGACTAGCCTGGAATACAAAGAGAGCTCAAGGCCACCCTCTGCTGCATAGTGAGATCTTGTCTCAAAAAGACAAAAAAATAAAGTAAAAACAAAGATTTGCCATTAGGCATAGTGGCACATACCTATAACCTGAACACTTGGGAGGCCAAGGCAGAAGGATTGCCACAAATTCAAAACCAGCCTGAACTACACAGTGAGTTCAAGTGTAGCCTTAACTACACAATGAGACCTTGTGTATATGTATATATACACACAAGTTAAGAAACTGATGCTGTGCTTTTTTTCTAGTGTTTAAGAGATCTACTCTTAAGACTGTAATAAGAGTCACCCCTCCTCAGAAGGCACTCTTTAAGTGCTAGAAAAAAAGCACAGCATCAAGATACTGAGGAGATCCTGGTTTCCTAGGGTGCTTGTGGATGGATCTGGGTATTCTTTATTTATTTATTTATTTATTTATTTTTTAATTTTATTTATTTATGTGTGTGTGTACGTGTGTCTGTGTGGCCAGCTCAGCTCACCAGGGGACGGGGCTGGCCGGCATGTGGTGCTGGGGGATTGAACCTCGGTCCCTGTGCTTTGCTAAGCTTGTTCTAAGTAGGTGCTTTAGACCACTGAGCCATCTCACCAGCCCCCTGGGTATTCTTTAGACCAATTAAATGTAGATCAAGTTGTAACTCAAAAATCCTTGAAGATGGTAGAAAACTAATGGGAGATGATAAACTTTTCAGTTTCTGTTTTAGCTCCCTTGGCAGTTGGAGACTTTGTGGTAGAGCAAGCTCTATTTCAGAAGCAGTTCTTATTTACTGTCCCCATTCTTAACACTGAATGTCAGCTTCCTGAGACCTCCTCAGAGCTGTAATCTTTTAATAGTGGATGATTACAGGAGTACAGTCCTTAAAGGAACAAGGAAATGAGATTTTGTCCCTTCTCTAACAAGTGACTACAAATGATATAGACCTATGTCTAATTTCATCTACCTTTTTTCTTGCAGGACTGTTAAAGCTTGGAAGACCCCTCCCCTCCCCCCTCCCCCCTCTGCCGCTTTGTGGCACCCCCCCTCCCTCCACCCTTTCCCACTTTCATCATCTGGCCATGACGAGCAGAAGCACGACCAGGCCCAATGGGCAGCCCCAGGCCAGCAAGATATGCCAGTTCAAATTGGTCTTGCTGGGGGAATCTGCAGTGGGAAAATCTAGCCTGGTATTACGTTTTGTCAAAGGGCAGTTCCATGAGTACCAGGAGAGTACTATTGGAGGTGAGTACCTTGGAAAGAAGAAGTTCAACACTTAGTAGAACCTCAGAAGGGAGCTCTAAGACCTAATTGTAGAGTTGACGCACTTACCTGCTTGTCACCCAGGGAATAGAATCCCTGTGTAATAACAAAGCATAAGGCCTAAAATCAGGTATACCTTCATATCTTTTGCTTTCTAAAAGAGAGCTTGATCTTGATATTCCAAGAAAATACTAAATGATTATTTTTTTTAAATTTTAGGGAAGGGTCTTACAGGGTGTGCAGCATCTCTCTACTAGATCAGACTCATAGTGATCCGCCTTTTTACAGCCTCCCAAGAGCTGGGATTACAGGCGTGCGCCACCACACCCAGTCTAAAAATCTTAATTTTTTACTTCTGTCTTTCACTTTCTACTCTATCATCTTAATCTCTGTAAAATTCAGTTGAGCTGAATCTTGAGCAGATAAAAGTTTGTTTGTTGTGTGCTCCCATCCTTGGCCATGGAAATTTTTGCAAGAAAAAGTTAGCAAAAGGAATTCAATCCTGGTTTCAGGCTATATATGTAAGGAGAACACTAAGCTGAATGGCTTAGGTAGTAACTAGTCTTAGACTGATAGTGAAGATATTTTGGAGGGCATGGGATGTTCACATTCACCTTCTACTTACAGCTTCTTTTTCTATTATCTGTAGCGGCCTTCCTTACCCAGTCCGTTTGTCTAGATGATACAACAGTCAAGTTTGAGATCTGGGACACAGCTGGTCAGGAACGATACCACAGTTTAGCCCCCATGTACTACAGGGGTGCTCAAGCTGCAATTGTGGTTTATGATATTACTAATCAGGTAAGTAGGCTAAAAAGACAGTCCATTTATTTATTTATTTATTTATTTATTTATTGGTGGAACCGGGGATTGAACTCAGGCCCTTGCGCTTGCCAGGGATGCGCTTATTCTCCTGAGCCATCTCCCTGGCCCCTACAGTCTTTTTATTTACAGGAATTAAATTTGGTGGGGGAAGAGCCTGAGTGGCACACACCTATAATCCCAGCAATTGGGAGGCTGAGGCAGGAGGATCATTGAGTTTTAGGTGAGCCTGGGCTACATAGAAGTTTATTTTATTTTATTTTATTTTATTTTATTTTATATTTTTTCTTTGTATTCCAGGGAATGGTCTACAGGGTATTCAGGGTCTCACTACTAGATTGGACTCCTAGTGATCCACCTGTTTACATCTTCCCAAGAGCTGAGATTACAGGCATGTGCCGCCACACCCAGTCTTAATTGCCCTCTCGCTAGGCAGGTGTGGGGGGTGTGGCATAGCAGGCCTGGGGATCAAACCCCCAGCCCCTGTGCCTGCTTGCAGGTGCTTTAATTGGCTAAACTATTTGGCCAGCCCTCACATAGTAAATTTAAACCTAACCTGATAGTGAGAGCCTATCTCAAAAAAACCCCAAAAATTGTTAGGGGAGAGGAAATGGGTTCTTTTTTTTTTTTTTTTTTTTTTTGGTGGAACCGGGAATTGAACTCAGGCCCTTGCACTTGCCAGGGAAGCACTTATTCCACTGAGCCATCTTCCCAGCCCCTGGGAAATGGGTTCTTTAAATAGCAAAATATAAACATACAAATTATGCTTGTAAGAAGACAATTAATGAATTAGCAGAGACTCATGGTTTCAGTGAGGGAAGGACTCTAGAAGAGATGAGTTGTGAGACTGCATAGGGAACTGTTCTAACACCAATCCAGATCCCTGCCCAGATGCCACCTGTGGGGAATCAGCCCACTCCAGTCTTTCCTCGACCAAGGCACTACTTGTAGGACTTTGTCACCCTGACCCAAAGGCAAACAAGGATGAAAGACAACAGAGTCAGTTTATCATGTGGGCAGCCAAGAAGCTCTTGCCTCTAGGCAGAGGACCCCTGAGTCTGACCCATCCTGCTTTTACTCAAACATAAGTACAAGCAATTAAAGTAACACAAGATTCATCTGCCTTATTACCGTTAGTACATGTCCAGGTGAAAACTTGATCTCAGCTGTTACTTATTTTTCCGTAGACCCTGCCTCATGCCGTCATCCTTTACATGCTGCCTTTCTCCTTTATGCTCACAGAGGCCTCTATTCTCCTTTATTGGTCTGCCACAAGACTGGCTTTTGAAGGTGATGGCTGTGTACCGGCAGTCATCCCAACCCACACCTCATCTCTCTCACATTTTCCTAGGAAACCTTTGCACGCGCGAAGACATGGGTGAAGGAACTACAGCGGCAAGCCAGTCCCAGCATTGTCATTGCCCTGGCAGGGAACAAAGCTGACCTAGCCAACAAGCGCATGGTGGAATATGAAGTAAGATGGCCCAGAGTTCCCCTGTAGCACACTGCCTCTGTATACCTCTTTCTAAGCCGGTCCTCTCTGAAAGACCTCATTTTAGGGCATTCATTATCTGGTTCTTCAGTCCTAAACAGGTTAAATACTGCAACACTGTGACCTAATGACAGCCTAATGATTTTAAAGGAGTCAAAAGAGAATTTCAGAATAGAGAAGTAGTACAACCAGCTGTTGGGGTAGCAGTATGAAAATAGGAAAGAGGGAACAATTAAATTTTGAGGGAACGAGCCAGGCACAGTGGCAGACACATGTAATCTCATACTGTAGAGGCTGAGGCAGACAGATTACAAATTCAAGGCCCAGCCTGGGCCACTTAGGGAGACACTGTCTCGGAAAATAAATTGGGCTGGGAATAAAGCTGGTATTATGTTCCTGGGTTAGATCCCTACAACTGTTTAAAAACAAAAATTGAGCTAAGCAGCTATTTAGTGTCAGAATCCAAAAACATAATTACTATTCCTGACATCTGTTTGTTGAACTGAGTGGACATGGATCTATCTCAAGGGAGTCATCACCAAATGGGTAACTTGGCTCAAAGGTACATTCGTGGAGAGAAGGAACCTAGAAAGTTGGCCAGCCCTGGTGATCCATGGGAATAAGAAAACAACACTTACTCTCTACCTTCTGAGCACTGATATATCCCACTTCTTGTAGGAGGCCCAAGCATATGCAGATGACAACAGTTTATTGTTTATGGAGACTTCAGCCAAGACAGCCATGAACGTGAATGATCTCTTCCTGGCAATAGGTAAGATCAAAGCAGCCTGAAGTCTTTCTGACTTACCCTTGTCAGTAGGTAAAATCATCACTAGCCAAAATCAAGAATAGGTAAGAGTGGCTCCTTTTATAAAAACTTTAGTGGTCTGGGGTGACAGCTCAGTGGTATAAGCACCTGCTTGGCAAGTGCAAATTCCTGAGTTTGATCCCTGGTAGCACCAAAAAAAAAAAACCTTTAGGTATGGGGCTGGGGTGTAACATAGTAGAGTGCTTGCCAAGCAGTCCTGGGCCTTTATTCTCCAGCACCACAAAAAGCAAAGCCAGACCTAGGCATGGTGTGGCACACCTATAATCCTAGCACTTGGGATGCTGAGGCAGGAGGATTGCCCTGAGTTTGAGAGCAGCATGGGCTCCGTAGTGAATTGTGGAAATAGCTTTCTGTGGTGACCTCCATCCTTTGGCTGCAGCTTAGGCTGCTTGTGTTCAGTGTAGTTTGTAAGCAGTGAATATCCCACTCTTCAGAACACATTCTATTCTCAAGTTTTCCACAATTTTCCCTGTTTTAGTAGCCTTTGTATTTTGGGCTGAATAAAACCTGCCATATTTTGTTTCCTTCTCTTTTTATCTTTAGCTAAGAAGTTGCCAAAGAGTGAACCCCAGAATCTGGGGGGTGCAGCAGGCCGAAGCCGAGGTGTGGATCTCCATGAGCAGTCCCAGCAGAACAAGAGCCAGTGTTGTAGCAACTGAGGGGATGGCTAGCAGCAAACAAGTACGGAGCTAGCACGAGAGCTAAGAAATAACCTCTGTCCCCACCCCTCAGCACACAGCCCCTACGGTAACAGCACACTGAGCCCTGGCTCCCAAGGGCTGCCTCCTGACAGCTCTGTCATGGCACTTTTTAACGCTTCAGCAACCAACACCAGGCAGCTGTTGCCACTGGCTTCCTACCCTCTACTTGAGGGCTTGGGGGTCAAATATCCCCAGGACTTACCTTCCAAAACAAACTTTCTTCACTTTGTATTATAGGTGCAACACAGTGACCTACTTATCTTTCCTCTTCCTCCCCTGTGTTTTTCCCCATTTTTTTCATCAAACATTTTTTGTCTCCTGCCCCTCCCTCTCTCTGTTTTTGGTTAATCCTTGTTCTTGATCCTCTTTTCCTCCTCTCCCAGGATGGAGAAGGTGGTGAACCCAGAAACTGAGAAGGGAGCTTTCTAGTTCGGTATGTTACAGGCCCTGGGGAAGAATAAGGCTCAGAGCAGTAGGAAGAAAAGTTCATTTTTGTTTTTATTCAATTGGAGTCTCATATTTGAAAACACTGCAGTATCCATGAGTTGACCTTGGTGGAGGGTTTTCCTAGGGAGAGGTGAGCATGAGGAGGCAAGCTCTCAGGAACCATGTGGGAGTCATGTTAGCTGACTGATCTGTGTAGGCTCATCTGTGGCTCTGGAACTTTTCCAAGGCCCAGTTTTCCTTACCCATCTCTTAGACAGCTTCTCCCCAAGAAGGGATTGGAGCCTCGAGTCCTCCAAAGAATCTTCACTGGTTGCCTGCACCTTCAGCTTTGCTGTGATCTAATTGGAGGAGGGGCCGGTTTCTAATACCCATCCTCTGATTATACATATGCATTCCCCTCACCCCTGGCCTGTTAGGTGGCCTCAGCCCCACCCTCCATATCCCCTGCAGTTTGCACTTTAATTGATGGTAGCTCGGTCGGGATACTTGTTTTATGGGGTTTCTGATTGATTTACCTGCCCTCTCATCTTTTTAATTAAACAGAGGCTGAAGTAAAAGGTAGGGGATGGGGGGGGGCGAGCTACAGAAAACAGTTCCAGTGGCAGCTACTCAAGCACAGTCTCCACTGCTCGTTTCTTCCTCCAAGTCTAATTCTTAACGTTTATTCTTGCCAGGCTCTTACATATAGATTTGCCTTTGTGGAAAATTAACTGAGCAACTGGGGAGTGGCTTAGGATAGCATAGGCCAAGGTAGGGGAGTAAAGAGAGGTCAGACAAAAGGGAGGAATTTTCTGTCCCCAGGGTTCACATTCATTTTGCTATCTATTACCATATCTTTTCTACTTTCCTGTAAATAGGTATAATCTTCATTCTCACTATATATAGTCTGTTCTGCCTCCCATCAGGACCTTTTTTTTTTTTTGTTAGTATCTTGACTATAGTTCTTACATCCTTATCCCCATTCTTACCCTCCCATGCAACCAGTGTACCACTAGGGGCTAGAACCACGGAGGCCTGATGATGGCGCGCTCTCTCATCATGTCACCCGTTGCTGGGACAGGAAGTGACTAGCACTGAAGGTACCTCCCAACTGTCTCTTGTCATCAGAGAACCTTGGTAGGTTCTCAGATCTCTAGCCTCTCTTCACATCTTTCATCAGGTATTTTAGGATGTCTGTGGGAAACCATCCAGGGAAGAGAGAACTCTTAAGTTCCTTCTTGTTCCAGCCCAGAGTTTTGGGAATTTGGGGGAAGAAAGTCAGGAAAAACCACAGTAAGATTGGAACTTTCTGCCCTTCGGCTTGCAGATTGCCTTTTGTCCCAGAGCAGCTGAGAAATCCGCATGAGGCTTGGCTTGTGAAGGACCCAGCTTAGGTTCTTCCACCTTGGCCACAATTCCCTTCCTTTTCCAGGGGCAGCCTTAGTTCCCATGGCCCTGAAACAACTCACATTTTCCCTTCTTTCCCCAGAACCCATTACCCCTCCCCCAAAGCACCCAGTGCATCCTTCTTACAAGTGGAAGAACTAAGATGGCTGTCTGAGTCTTGTAGGAATCAAATTCTTTCTGTGTGCAGCCTTCTGCGTGAAGCAGGAGTGAAGGTGTTTCCCTCCCTTGGGGCTGGGAAACCTTTTCCCCAGGCTTCACCTTCCCTTGCCGCCTTAGGGACAGTGTTGGCCTTAGCTTCCAGGCCTATCTTGCTGCCTTCCCTCTATTTCTGCCAGCTTTTCTGCCCTCCTTTGAGCCCTTTTGGGCTTAAGGATCTTAGTTTTAAATATTTCCTAGCTCTACATCTTTTTTTCCTGATCAGTTTTTTTGTTTTGTTTGGGGGAGGAGGGGTGTCTTTTTTTTTTTCTTTCTTTTTTTCTTCTAAGAAAGCATTTGCCTTTCTTTCCCTTTCCTCCCCTACATAACAATCGTGGTAACAGAATGCGACTGCTGATTTACCGATGTATTTAATGTAAGTAAAAAAGAAAAAAAAAAAAAAAGAAACTGCATTGGACTGTTGCTTTGTTTTTTGCTATTTGTCTCATACTAGAAATCAGAAACATATCCCCTTCTATCTTGGTACCTCCTTATTCCCTTTAATACATTCCCACTGGTTTGAGCTGCTAAACATGCATGACTGTCCCATTGGGTGGCTCGAATCACTGGTGGTACAAGTGGATTTAACCACTTCGGTTTGTTTTGTTTTTTTTACTAACGTCCAAGGTAAGACATACAAATTACGGGCCCATTGTAAACATGTTTTTTTGTTTTTGTTTTTTGAACCAGGGATTGAACTCAGGCCCTTTTGCTTGCCAGGCAAGCGCTTAATTCTACTGAGCTATCTCCCTGGCCCCTATGTTAATCTTTTCTTGAATAGTAGAATTCAGTTTGAAAAATAACTCATTACTGTCAAATCAACCCTAATTAAAAAAAGCTATATAGTTTCTCAAATGTAACCCTAATTTTATCTTTTTAGCCCCTCGGTAGAATGTATCTAGATGTGGAGGTATAGTCTCTCAGCCCGCTGATGAGACTTGAGGGAAAAGTGACATTTGTGAATCATTTGGAGTGCAGAAATTTATGTGTACATTTTAAGGGTCTGTTGCCATAATAGTATCGTAAAGAAGTGCATAAACCCGAGGTTAAAACTAAACAGGTACTGAGGCACAGTGACACATGCCTGTAATACCAGCACTCAGAAGACTGAAAGAAAGGGGGAGGAAAGGAAGGAGAGAGAGTGAAATCACTGACTTAGTTTTACTGGTTAATCATGTGGCTTCAACCTCAACTGGCGTTTTTTTTACCCTGTATTTACTTTCAACTCCTACTATTCTTTTTTTTTTTT